GATTTGGTAGGTTCTGGGTGCATTGGTATTAATATATTATGTACGTCCCAATACACAGTGTGTTAATGAAAATACCCAAATGTCCTGCTAGAGTCGATCGGATTTTGCAGCATGCAGGCCGGAATGCCTTTCTGGACATTCTGACACACAATCCTCTGCACAGTTACATCTCAGTGTCTCACATGAGTATTTACAGACTGATAATGGCTCATTTCACACAAAAAAAGGTGCAGGATTAGGACAAAGTAGTATGTTCCTGTTGTATGAATACTGTATGAAACTTGAAGATAAAGTATGGGCTTTGGAGTGCAGCCTCTGGTTTTTATATATATATGTAGGGGTCACTAAGTTTTAGGTGGTTTTGATCACAGTCGTTCTTCCTCTGGCCACTGACATAAGAGCCAAGAGCCAAAGAACTAGTTAAAGATGAGGCACCGGAGGAAAAGGATTGTACGTAAAAACGCCACAGGACACTTAAAAGTCAAAGGTCAGGTGAAAGCATGTGAGCAGCCTTATTCAGACCCATGCAGCAGATGTGCAGCCGCCATGACTCCTATTGACCCGTTTTCTTTCCCCTCTCCGTTGTCTTCCAGGTGTTCATGCTGGCTCTGACGTTTCTCGTCCTGTTCCTGGGAAATTTTCTCACCACGTTAAAAGTCGTCCACCAAAAGATTCAGAAAAACCAGGAAAAGGTGCAAAAAAGTGACTGAGAGCGACGTCGGCGGGATCCTTCAAACGGCCAGTAACCTCCAAGCAACGCGCACAAAAATCGCTCCACGGACTGAGCGCTAAGAGTACGATCAGGCCGAGAGAACGCCGAGCTCCAAACCACCGTCTCTGTCTCAGGCCCTGATGACGGGCGGCAGCCAAAGCGTGTGTGCGGCAAACATGCTACCACTTTCCAATGACTCTCATGTGGCTGCTCGGTCAGGCTCGACGCCAAGTTCACCCGATACACCAACAGTTTTGTCTCTTTATCCTGTACATAAAACGTGAGTGTGGAAAGAATGTGTTTGGGTGTTTGTGTCAGTGCATGAATCTTACGGGAGAGCCTCTGTTCAAATCATATGCAACTACAACCAGGGCAGGTAGCATCGGTCAAACAGAACAGATGAATCGTTTGCCTTTGAAGACCAAACGTCTGTCACGCTTCATACTTCTGTGAAGTACTTAACGCTCAAACTGTCTCTGGCTCCAGCAAAATGGAACACACTCAGCTCCCTCCACTTCCATCGTGTAGTTCTCTCACTGCTAATCCTTTATTTCTATCAGATTTTCTTGGAAATGACAAAATGTAGGTCAACAAGTTTAAACTTTAAAATTGATGCTTGACTGCCCCCACATCCCCTCCTTCGCCCTTCCTCTGGTTGTGCTCTTTTTCTGTGGCGAGTCAGAGGCAGCTCTGTTTTTTTCTTTTAATTTTATTTTATTGTTGCAACTACAAGTGAATGCAACGCCGTGTCTCCCTTCAGGCAGTGGTTAACAAAAGCCATAACTGTTTTGTATGCTCTTATGCCTAAATGTGGTCGTCTGGTTAAGTCACGAGAAGATAAACACTTGTACTGTCTCCACGAAACACTGAGGATTAAAGCAGCTTATTGTGCATCCCTAGAAGTTATGTTCTCATTAACAGAAGTACTAACAAAATGTAATATATATATATAAATGCATAGATTTATCAAGTTGGTCTCAATCTCGCTGGTGTAGGAAGAGCTTCAGGTGGTTGAACATTTCAGTTTATATTCAGTTTTGGGATTTTTTTTCCATGACGGTTACCAATTTGTTCTGTGATGAAATGTACTCTGATCAAATGCTGCTACTGGCACTGGTACTGTAAGACTCTGATACAGAATTATGATAACAAAAAAACAAGATGTGCTGGATTATTTTTCTAATTCCTATCAGCATACACCATTAAATATTTGTATGAATGAATTTATGGTCACACAAAGGACTCGACTCTGATGCCTTATTCTGAATTCACAGGAGAAAAAAAACAGCTTTTATTTTGAAAACATTACATTCATGTCACTTCTTCAGTCTCTAAAGAGAATCACTGGTGTTTCTGTATCGCTTTTATTAAAGGGAAAACTGAACCGTGTTGAGTTGTCGAGCAAAATGTTCTGATCGATGGAAGAAGAGCTGCCAGGAGGTGATTTCCTCGTTTTTTTTTTATTATGATGCAGCTGTTTGTTATGTGATCAGTAACAGGAGACAGGAGAAAATACTAATTAAACACCTGAATTTAAAAAAAAAACAACAAACACATCAGTGCTTCTTGTGCACTGATGCAGAAAATAATTGTTTTTTTCACTGCTGCAAATTCACTTAATTGTATGAAAACTGAAAATACTTTGCAGCCAATTTACAAATTCCACTTTTCTGCCTCTAGTGGGCGCTGTTGGTAAAGCTAAGAGCTCTGCTTCAGGCTCCTGGAGCCCCAAAAACAACTTGTAGCCTGAGTTTAGTTCTGCTGGGAATAAAGAAGAGACACTACTGGCAGAAAATCGTTGTTTTCATGCTCTGGTTGATTTTAATATTTTGGGTTATTTGCTTCCAGAACATGTCTTGTTTCAGACACGTGGAAAAAAAGAGTTACGATGCACATCACGTGTTTATTTTACTGATTTTTCTCGACCAGAGAGTTAAACAAATGGGCACATATTTATGAGATAAAACCTCATTTGAATGTTTAAAGGTAAAAATTTAGAATCCTTGTGACAATAAATAATTTAATGATCTTTACTAGTTGATATTTTTTATTTATAAAAAGTAGTTTCCAATAAAACTTTTTTTTTAAATCAATTTTTAATACATGTCTTTAAATGGCATTTTCTCAAAATATTTTTTTTCTCCCATTCTCTGAGCTACATATTTGGATTTAAGCAGCACTTACATCCACCAAACCTTCCAATTTTATTTAAAACTGTATTCTAGTTGTTCAGAACCTGATTTCACTCTTAAAAACATGCTGAAAATGTTTGTTTTTTTCCCTAGTTGTTAACTGTGATATCATATTTATGTGATGGCTTTGAAAATCCCATGTTTAAAAAAAATATATGTGTAAAAAAAAAAAAATGTTCTAAATAATAAGCAAAAATTTCAAAGCTAATGTTAAGATTCCTGTTCTGGAAATTAATTCAAATTACATCATTTTGATAATTGATCATTTAATAATTTCCGTATCATATTTTAGAATCAAATTTCAGAAAACTTGTCACTAAAACTAATTTTAATTGAAGTAATCAACTAGAAAAGTTTCATGTTTGTGTCTTTTGGTTAAAAGTCTTCCAGGATTCACCTGTAGTGTCTCCTCTGAAGCTACAGTACCGCTAGATGGAGAATTAAAACACCTAATTTAATCTTAAAATTTGGTTTCTGCCAGCAGATTTAAACCACATCTGACAATTTAAAAAAATATATATTACAAAAATCCACAGTGGCAACAAAACGACTAACTATTGAAATCCCTTCAATAAATAGAAGTCCAATCTGGTGCCATTACAAACAGTACAAAGTTTTCTCAGAAGATATAAAAAAGAAAAAACTAAAAATGACATTCAAAAGTGAAACACGTTGACGGAGGATGTTACAAGTTGCTGGATTCTTTAGAAAGTCTCCGAGTTGCAACTTGCATAATTGTCTTTCCTGTTGCGTCAATTTCTTGTAACATTGGAGGAAGACGTGCTGATGAGCTCAGCGACATCCAGACTTCCATCAGGTCTCTCTGAGCCACTCTGTCACACAGCTGTCTCCACATCTGTGCGGGACACAATCTTAACGTCCAGCCACTGTGAACACGAAGAGCGATGACTTAACAGGCGCTGTTTTGCAGAAGAGCGAGGTCCTCTTCCTTTTATCTTCACAAAACAACACATTTCTTCTTCCTCTTGTAGTTCCTTTGTTTCCGATGGAAGGCCAGAGCTTTCTTGGTCGCCTCTCTGAAGATGTCCTCCACGTTCTCCTGATATTTCGCCGAACACTCCAGGTACAGCTCGGCCTTCATCTGCTGCCGCGTCTCCTCGCCCTGCATCCGAGGAAAGCACTAAATCACTGCGACGGTATTGACAGCGAGAAAAAATGTGCATTTGGATGAGATCTGATTTTGTAAACAGGTAGATGCGGTCGCAGGTTCTGGTTGAGGTGCTTCCTCTTGCATTTCACATCCTGTAGCTTCAGTTTAAAGGCCTGTGTTTTCACTGCACGCTTCTTCTTTCCCCTTACCTGTGTGTAGGTGATGGGAGCCAGATTCATGGCCTTCAGCTTCCTTGCACACTCTTTGTCCTTCCTGAGGTCGGTCTTGCAGCCGATCAGGACGACCGGTACGTCCGGACAGAAGTGCCTCACCTCTGGGTACCACTGCATGAACACAACAGAGATTTAGATTTAGATTCACACTTTGGCTGGGTTTGAATCGTTGGACGGCGTTTCCCTGCAGAGGATCAACGTCCACATCCAGGCTTGCATGAGTTAATCATAGCTGAAGAGAGCGCGGCCAACACAAACACACACACTCTGGCAATCATCTACCAACCTGACACTTCACTTTCTTTGGGCCTGCATGTGTTGCAATGATTACCTTTATCATGACATTCTCAAAGCTGGTGGGGTTTGTGACATCAAAGCAGACTAAAATCAGATTGGCCTCTTGATATGAGAGCGGCCTCAGTCTGTCGTAGTCCTCCTGTCCTGAAGAACAAAGGCATGAAATATGTGTTAGCAAAAAAAAAAAACAGTGCACACACCCACGAATGACAAATACTGTGTGTGAATGAGCGGCGGCGCTAAACAAAAGCTAGTTTAATGCAACAGCCGGAACGTAAAGATAATGATGTATGTGACAAAGCTTGGTTAGATACATAAAAGCCACATCCTGCCTTCAGCTTCCTCCTCTCGCTGATGTAAGGCGCCCCTGCTGCAATTATACAAAAAAGATAAGTTGCCAGCACAGACTGTCGCGGCTTTTCCTGACAATGAAATGGCTTTAAAAGCTATTCACAGGAAAACGATCAGCAGCTTGTGGTGAAAAATGTATTTTTTTTGTTTTCCATGTGTGCTGAATATCAACATATCTTTCTACATGAAAACTCTCAGGTATCTGTGAGTTTTAGGACAATCTGATCAGAGACTAGTGTTGACTTTCAGTGCATCAGGTTCACAATTCTAACATTTACATAATCTAGTTTTTCTGTGAAGACATCCCAAGAATTCTGAAATATGAGGCCGACTCTAATATTTGCAAATGTCTGAAATATCAAAACAGCAACTGTGCTTTTTTGAAATCATGTAAAACAGATAAATTCCTGTAAATGTGCCCTTTAGGCTGGATTCTACTACTGCTGATTTGTATTTACTCATGTTAGTCAGTTCCCTAAAGATGATGTTGATGACGCTCTTCACTGCTTCCTTCTGTGTCTTTCAGCATCAGAACAACAAGATAAAGATGGAATTCACATGGGCGCCTGAACTTCAAAATCTTAAAATCTATGACGAAGTGTGTGATGTTTATCTGCAGTGTTTCTGTTCTATCCCAGCCAGGTGTCACAGTGTTCGGCCCAGCGGGCTTCGAAACCCTGAATGTCTCTCCACGTAATCTGAAATGCAGAGAAGCAGAACTGAATCATGGTCATGGAGGTGATCACTGATTGTTCTCTTACCGGCCGTGTCGTACAGGTTGAGCTTTATTTCTTTTCCTCCCAGTGAGACAGTGGCGACATATTTTTCGAACACTGATGGTGCATATTTCTGTTTTTGACACACACAGAAAAAAAAAAAGACTCCAATATTACGATTCAGCTTCATATTCCATCAGATTACAAAACTTCTATTGAGTTTGTATAGTTTCATTAGAGAATGTAGCTTGTATGTTGTTTTACAAACATTTGGATTGAAAAAAATGTCTAAATAAGTTTGAATTTTAACAATATCAGAGTGTTTATTAGAGCCTATCGTGGTATTGCTCAGAAATCACATCTGTACTAATAAATAAATTCACAATTTCAAGATCTAGGTGCTACATGAAATGTCACAGGAGCTCTCCTTACCTCCGGAAAATCACCTTTAGCATAAACCATCACCAGAGATGTTTTCCCGCAGCCTCCATCTCCCACAATCACAATTTTAAGTTCTTGTCCCTTTTTGGTGGTACCATTACCGATGCCAGCACCGTTCTGTGTCATTGCGCCTCCAGACAGTCACACAGGTGGCAGGCAGGGCCGGGCTGAAGGTGCTCCCTCCGGGTTTAAGTTAAATACATGGCAAAGCCTGATGAGTGTACATTTGGAAGGGCTCAGATGATTCACGGGCGGTGTGAAGAGAGAGGAACAGGCGAGCCTCATGTTTTACCAGGTAGCTCACTCTGCTCAACCGCTTCCTGTTCCTGTCACAGTGAGGCTGCCTCCAGTTGACCCTCTACGCTCCTCTGCTGTCCTGTCGTCAGACTGAGAGCGTAATGCTGCAGCTGACATGTGAAGCTGCTGAGTCTGGCTGCTCCTACTTCCTCTATTGCATGTGTTTGCGTGTTTCATTTTTCTGGGTGGGTACTCAATCTCAAGCACTTCCTCCACTGACCATGTGTGTGTGTGTGAGAGAGAAGAAGAGAGATAACACTTAAAATGTTCTACCTTAGAACTCGTCTCAGCAGGTTGTTTTTTTTTGTTTTTGTTTTTTTTTGGTAAACATCAGCACCAACAGATTTCTAGATTCTTATCTGTCAAGTTCTGAGTGTGCATCCTGGACATGCTCTGATGAAAGTGAAGGGGGGGAGGCTCCACCCACTGTGTGCATCTAGACTGTTTCCTTTTAGACGTTTACGGGTAAAAGGTCAATATAATGTGTCTGCATGCTTTTTTTAAAAAAGTTAACCACCTTTTTTTTATCATCAGGTTGCAACATTTGAATCACTCATTTAATTGGTTAAATATTGTAGAAATTCTAATTGATTAAGTTTATGATTGAGAAAATACCTTCAGGAAGCAGCTTAAATGTTTAATCTTTCATCCAACTGAAAAGAAAACCAGCACAGCATGTGTGTTTCAGATTAGATGGTGTATATAAAGTGTTTCCTGTTCAGGCGATCATTTTGAATCCATACACTCTCATATTCACTCATATGACTCTGTTCATGCTGTAAAGATGAATCATCAGGACTCTCTTTCTCTCATCTCAGGAGGTAATGGACAGACTTATGTGGCAGCAAATGAGCACAATAAAGAGATAAAGATTATAAAGAATAGCTTATTGGTGTTTCAGTAAAAGAAACAGCCTTCTAATCAGGATGTGACAAATTAGGGTTAAACACTGAGCCAGAAGTGGTATCTGTTAGTGATCAAAGAGAAAATGCACCGTAGGCGTGTAAATCCAGCCATGTTGCCTTTTGAGTATGAGCTAGAAGTTATGCCTGAAGATTTTTATAGACACCGTATAAGCAATAAAAGATGTGGTCAAAATGGTTTCAGCCGTGTCTGTGATTGCTGATAATTACAACCAGGTCGGTAACAGCGGGTGTCAGGAGAGAGCAGATCACAGGGAATGAGCGTGTGAATGATCAGAGCACACACAAAGTGTTGGATTTTTAGATCTGGTCTGGAACATTTTCTGTCACAAAGGCACCTCAACTCGATCTGTGGTAAGATTCAAAGTCGAATTTAAAGATTACATTTTCATTAAAAGGATGCAGATAGTTTATGGGAAGGAGTGCAGAAAATTTTGGGCAAGCTGTCCCTTTAAGAGGAAAAGCTGACACCCTTTACTTTGCCTATTTTTGAAAAAGACCACATTTAATCCTTTTAAGTATGAATACACACACATTTACAGTAGCACCTAAAAGGAAAAAAAATGCAATTTGCTTATAAAAAATCCACCCTGCCATCTGAATGTTGTGTGTTGTATATTTTGTGTGTGTTGTATGTTTTGTGCTATATATATCCGTCATGACAGATCAAATCCTGTTTGAAATCTGGGCCCAAAAATCATTTAATGTTTAAAAAAAAAAAAAAACTACAAATGTACAACAACCTGTTTCAGCTTCCACAACAACAAAACGTAAGCATTATGGTATAGTCTATTTATTTCAGCATGTCACAAACACAGACAGGTGATAATATTGTCAAGTGAAAGAGGCTAAATCACAAAGCAAACTGTGGAATATTAATACACTACACATGCAAATCTTTAGAGAGAGCTAGAAGGAAGAAAATCCAGTGTTTTAAAAAGATACAGTACCACCAATGTGCATGGAGAGAAAAAAAAAATCCTTTAAAAAAAAAAAAATCGAGTTTACCCATAAGTAATCAAAAAAAGACACACAGAGTCCGAGGATGCCTGATTTGATTCAGTGAACAATCCGTCAGAATAAAAGGCAAAGAAAGGAAAGCTCACACAGCAGTGTGCCTGTCTGCTTGCTTATTCTGACTCCACAGAAATCAGCCATTCACGGAGAAAGAGGTTCTCTCATGTGCACCATATGCCACTACAAAGGGCTACGGCATGGTGTAGCACAAGCAATGAAAAAAAAATCCTGCATAATAAATCATTTTTTAAAAAAGTGCTTGTTTGACTTACAAGGTGAAAACTGGCATCCTAACTCATGGATAAAGGAGACTATAAAGGATATGAAATTGTCCTGTAGGTGTACAAAATATCCACACGCACACAGACCCCCTTTTTTCATCAACTAATAAACAAAGAACAATTGTCAAAATGTATTTTCGCCGTGCTGAGAGAGACAGCTGTCCTGTAGAAGAAAGAGAGGCCAATCCCCGGTGTGGAATATTCCAGTCTGTCAGCGGCAAAGCTGAGTGGCGCAACCCACCGGGGAGGGTTTTTTTTTTTTTTTTCCTTCTTCTTCTTCCCTTTTTTTTTTAAACAAAGGCCTATCCTATAAATAACCTCAGTGGCGGATTTGATCGCAAACCCCCCTCCCTAACTAATGTGACATATTCAGAATCTTTATGATTTTGTCGGCACCACACAGGGGGTTTGGTGTAGAGAGCGAAGCTTGAGAGAGGGGAAGGGTGTCGACAGACTCGTGACCTGAATGCGCGCATTTGGCAGCCGGAGGGTAGGAGCGGAGAGCAAGAAAAACAGGCCTCTGACACACACACACCACACACACACACACGCTGCGATTTTGTCGGCGCAGACATGCACAAACACACCGAAAGAAGCGTGCGTAAAGAGTGCGTAAAAAGGCGCTAAAAATGCACCTGGAGACTCACTTTTACGCACGCGAATAAAGACCCTCCCCGCCTGTATTTTTAACTCCTTCGCAGCAAAAATAGACAGGATGGCATCTTGTTTGTTTGTACTATCTGATCTGCAGCGCTTGAAACAGTCGGTGTTGGTGATCCGTCGGGGTTTTTTTTTTTTTTTTGTCGTTTTACGCACGGAAGTTAGAGGCAGCCCCACAGTTATTTTTCACGCAGATACTGAACAACAGGGCTGCTGCAGAGGATTCCTGTTGACCTTATATGGCAGTGTGGGGGTGCTGCTCTCATGGCAACCGTCCAGAGCTCTCGGATTACTGCCGTTGCCAGGGCGAGTCAGCCCAGCAACGCGACAGCCTGAATACGCCGCCTTGTATTAAAGTTTCCTTCCTTTAACACGCGCTGTCGACCGTTTTGTCTTCTTGCAAAACACGAACCATTTCGAGAAAAATCACCCCTGTGACGCTGGGTTTTGTTTTCCTGCTGATTCACTCAGAAACACCGAGAAACGTCCTCGGTAGGATGAGGGGGAAAAAAAAAAAAGGCGCTCTCTCCGAGCCTCACCCAGTTATGGCGCAGCAACATTTCACAGCACAGTGCTCTCCTTTGTCTGTAAAGAAGCCATTTTGAGACAGAGAACAGCAGAGAAACCATTGCACAAGTGCAGCTTACACACCACCAAAAACAGGTCTGTTTGGATAAAGGGAAGCAGTGAAAAACACAAGATTTCTTCCCCATAAGATTCCTTTTAAAACTTGGATTACATGTTTTGAATACTAACTGTAAGTTTTCAATATCAATCAAACAATGTGGGTTACAGTTATTTTTGATATTTTTTAAACAAAAGTCAATATAGTTAAGCTAAAATCGTATTTATATCATAAGTAATATTTAAGTATTATTCGTGTTGTCTGTCCTCTATGAGAATTACTTACATGGATATAAATTGAGAAATTAAGTGAAATAGCTCAAAATCCATTACCTTTCCAAACAACATTTTCCTTGTAGCTTTTATATGATGTTGCTCAGCTAGAAATGTCGAAATGGCAGAGGTTTCTAATCGACTGCAATCCTGTCTTCAAGGAGAGAGAAGAGATGGTTTGCATATTGCCCACACAGATGATGCTTGAAGATGCATATTCGCTGGCTGAGAGGCAAAAGCTACCAGTGATCACCACCAAAAAAAAAAAAAAAAAAGTTTTCACAAGAGCTCTATCTGTCGTGCTAATGGATTCCTTCCTTTTCAGGAGACGCTCTCCCAACCCCTTATTAATGCCAATAATAGAGGATCGGAAGATGGAGCTGAAAACATTCCTCCTGCCCCTGCGTTTAGGCCTGTTAACTGCATTTCACCCAAGTGCTGAGGTAAATATTTTTTCAACACGAGAGTTTTCCCTCCAACTGTTTCCTCTTTAAGTTTGATCAGACTGTGTTTTAAACCGTTTAAAAAATAATCTGTAACATAAAAAAAAATAAAAATATGAGGAAGAAAAAGATTTTAAAAAATACCTGACTGGACGTCTTTAGATATTTAAATATGCCCTTGAAGCAAGGTCAAGCCGACGTTTACACTTTTTTGGCTCGTAAATGGCAGCACGAACCTAATCGTGCTTGAAGTTGTCTCCACAGTTGCAGTGTAGGGTACAACACAAGCCATCAGGGTGTTTAGCGTTGCTGTTGTGAGAGGAAGAGTGTTTTAAGTCATTAATCAGAGCAAAGGGGGTTATCAGTCAACAGTCAACATTGCTTAGAAGCACAATAAAGTAATTTGCAACAGGCCATTAGTTACCTATGGCCTGCTTTCTCTCATCTGAGGAGCTTCTAAAAAAATGTAGATTCATATGTCAGCATGCCATTTCTGAACAAATACTGTGATCACATTAATAAAAACTGAATAGAGAAACTGACAGAACAAATACTTTTTTTAATAACAGTAGCTGCATGCCTCACATTTACATTGCTAGATTATATTTAATTAAAAAAAAACACTGTTAAATGATTATAAAAGAGTTGAACTTACTCATTGCTACTCATATCCTACAAGGCCATAAGTGCAATGCCAACAATCTGCCATTACACATTTTGTCACTGTGTTTTTTTTCTCCTCCCCCCTTCCACCCCACCACTTCTATCATTTTAAACATCTCCAAAACCATAAAGCTGTTTATTCACAACATTTTGGTTTCTTTTTTTTTTTTTTACTTAAGAAATATAAACACTATTATATGGGTGTGCCATGACCTAGTTAAGACAAAGATGGATTCCAAGGCAGAGTAAAAAAAGGCTCAAAATGTCACAGGGTATTACATCCAGTACATTCTCTTCCTTCTTCTCAATCCTTTAAAAGGAGGAATCATAGTTTTATCATAGTCCGTGAGAGATGAGGAAATCAAGTGTAAGATCCCTTTTGGAACAAAGGAAACCCATATAGGCCATTGAGTCCCTGTTTAAGGAAAATGGCTGCCGAGAGCGCTCAGCCCCCTCTCTCTGCTCTCTGTTGAAGGACTCCTGAGCCGTGCCTCTAATAGCAGACAGCTCCTCTGCCGCTGCGCTCTGATTGGCCCGCCGAGCTGCCGCTGTTAACCAGCCAATTGCCCGAGCACTGCGAAAACACCAGGCAATGTCAAACAAAACCCAGTTTGTTCGACAACAATTCAAAAAAAATTAAAATTAAAAAAATATATGATGTACTATGTAGTAAAAAAAAGAACTCCGCTGTGTAATACTTGCCGTTAAAAAAAAAGTAAAAAATAAAAAAAAATAAAAATGGAGGACCTACCCAACGGCACTAGTTTCTCGGTCGGGATTAGCGAGAGAAAGAAACAACCCGCCGCATTCCAACAGTTATAAACGTTAGCTTGTATGCTAACTCCAACTAGCTAGTTTTTTTTTTTTTTTTTTTATTTTTTGTTGGTTCCGGGGTTTCTTGGCGTTTTTTTGTTGTTTAAAAAAAACAGTCAAAAAAAAAAACGCCTGAATTCGAACCACAAGTCTGCACCACATGAAACCGTCCGACCGAATCAGTTTTATTAGCCTTTTAGTGGCAGTTAAGAAGATATTGCCCCCTGTGTCTATCTTGTGTTTGCCAGTTGAGTAAATGCAGGCGGCAGATTCGGTACAAAAATGCTTTAGGCAGGGGGGGTTTAGCGACGCTGAATTACCACCACGCCGGAAAGAAACACACGTACGAATGCTAACGTCGTTATTTGTGATTTTTATTTTTTTCCCCCATTTTTTTTTCACAAGTCACCTGCAGCGTTAAACGAGCGCTGGAAACAGCAGCGAGTTTGTGTCGAAAGTGCGGCTAGCTTCGGAGGTGGGCAAGCCTAGCGGTGTATTGTGGGAGAGACAGCAGCTACAGACCAGAGGCACACAATATGTGTTGGCTCTCGCCGAAAAGGAGGCAGTATTCTTCAAGCTAAATCATGTAATGTAAGCGGCGAAAGGAAAGCGATTTCGTCTTTTCATCAATTGGAAAAAAAAACACACACGCTCGATCGGACGAACCATGTCCAAGCCAGGAGAGAGGAACAGATTGAACGAAGACCATGGCAGAAAGCAGAGTTCAAGTAAGCTTGTTCTTTTTTTCCTCTTTCTCCAGCCCTCCTAATGCCTGTTTTCCGTACGCTAGATCCCATTTTCTACGCTCTCACCGGGGTTACCCCCGCCACCGGAGCCATGCATCTGTACCGTTTGGCTGTTGAAAAAGTGCTGTGGGGCTGGTGAAGGAGGAGGAGGAGGGGGGGAGACCGTGTTCACAGCGTTGCCTCCCCGATAACGTTAGCTCTCCTTGTCGCTGCCTGTCGTTTCAGGTTTGGCGAACGGCATGGACAGTCATCCCGTCTGCGGCTCGGCGGAGAAGCGGAGTCACCACTGGAGAAGTTACAAGTTGATAATCGACCCGGCGCTCAAGAAGGGATCCCACAAACTGTACCGCTACGATGGACAGACTTTCAGCATGCCCGTAAGTGCCTGCTCTGACGCGGCGGAGCGGCCACAATAGTAACCGAGTAGCCGACCTCCATGATGGGTTACAATGTGGCCGTGGACGGACGCGGTCAGCATCCAGAGCACCGGCCCGGAGGTGTTCTCTGTGAATAAACAACACCTCCGGTTTGTGCACTTTGCAACAAGTTAGTGGCGTGTGAAGTTGTGAATGGGATGATAACAGCAGTGTGTGTGTGTGTGTGTGTGTGTGTCCTGCTTCTCCCACAGAACCCCGGGATACCTCCGGTGGACATCGTCCGGGACCCGCGGATCGGTCGACTCTGGACTAAGTACAAAGAGACGGACCTACCGGTGCCCAAGTTTAAGGTACATACTGTGTGTGGAGCAGGATGCCAGCTCTGTCCTTGTGGAGAAGGGGTGCTGTCAGAAGTTGCAGACACACCCCCTCTCAGTCATCTTTGCGATGTGGAGGATTGTCGGAGGACCGTTCGGACCAGAACACCTCGATCTGGCCTCACGCTCGCGTTCCTGGACTTTTCATTAAGTTGCTTGTTCGTTGCAACTCCTGCAGCGCTGCTCCTCTTATCTGAGCTGTCAGACATGACCCCACATGGTGCAACATTAACCCGAGCAGCACTTAACATTAACTCTTTGTCATTCCTCTCCCAGATCGATGAGTGTTACATCGGCCCCGTGCCTCCAAAGGAGGTGACATTCGCCCGACTCAACGACAACATCAGGGAAGGATTTCTTACCGACATGTGCAAAAAATTCGGGGAGATCGAGGAGGTGGAGATCCTGTACAATCCGAAGAACAAAAAGCACCTGGGAATAGCTAAAGTTGTTTTCGAGACCGTGAAAGCCGCCAAAGTGGCCGTGCAGTCGCTCCACAACACGTCTGTTATGGGAAACATCATCCACGTGGAGCTGGACCCGAAAGGTAAACACTGATTCAGTCATTCGAGGTAAAAGGACGCGCCGGCTGCGCTTGTGCAGACTCAAGCTTGAGAGCAGATGCAGGGCCACGAAAAAAAAAATCTAAATAGCGAAATGTTGCCTTGTTTTGGATTATTAGGATGACAGCAGTCACGTGTGCAAATTTACGTGCGTTGCCTGGTAACGAGGGATAATTGAATTTCATTGAATGTAAGCCTGTTCCCACAAGCCCAGAGCTGAGGGTGCTGTGTACTCCCACTGTGCATAATTTCAGACCTGCAAACAAACACAGACCAATCTGCCAGAGCCCTCTGCACTTTCAGATTTTTTTCTGAGTCACATTTTAAGTAAGAACTAATATCGATTTGAGTTGCAGTTGCAGTAAGTTACATTGCTGGTTGTTGTTGACTTGCACAAAACAGCAACTTTAATCACTCTTAGGATCGAGAGTTTTCAATCTGTGTTGATTTAATTAGAGCAATAAGGACCGCTATTTGTGTGTGTTGTAGTGTGTAGGGAATGCATTGTACCGTAAAGCATGTTTTGGTCACAGTAATATAAGTTGTTTGTGTCAATCAAGAAGCTGTATTGTATAACATAAGTGAGCACAGTTCACATATTGTCAGGCAAAATTAATGCATAATATTATTTTGTAAACCGCTGCTGTGACTGCACGCTTTACGAATGTTTAGTTTAGGGTTCAGCTGCCGTTACTCAAATCACGCCAGAGTGCTTTTAATGAAGCGCTTGCATTAAGCCCGCTTTACAAACTTGGCACCGGACCCGTGCATGTTTATTGTTCTGCAGGTGAGAATCGCCTCAGGTACTTCCAGCTCCTGATGAATGGCAGCTACACTCCGAGGACCCTGCCTGTTGGTGGAGAGGAAGCCAGAGAAGTTTCCCCTCGGAGCCTGGCAGAAGCCTTGCTGGTAAAAATTCCAATCTGCAAAATTGTTTGTGCTTGTTTTTTTTCTTTTTTCTAACTGCGCCAAAAGGAGTTAATTAGTAGTTTTACTATTATGATGACAGTCTGGTTCACGCGAGGTCGTTCCTGAGGAGGAGTTGTGTGTCTATTGTGTGGATGTCGAGGTGTTTTCTTTGTAGAAATGAGCTAATCTGAGCTGGATCAGTGCAGCAGGTGGTAGAGTAATAATGTCTAGATGCTCGTATTTAATCGTTGCTTTTGTTTTTTTAGGCGCCTTAATGTAGCCGTAATCATCAGAGGAAAATCATTCAATTATTTATGATGACTGGCTTGATAAGTCACAATCTAAACATATTCTCAGCAAAACATCATCATTATTTCCTCTTTTTCACTCTGATGGTTATGTTGTTTTTGCCTGTGACACCTCGATACATTCCCGTCCTCTTTGTGTCTTTAAAGGCCTGCGAGCCCATCCGCAGGTTGTCCGAGAGCAGCGTGGCTACCGTGGGTGGGACGTTGCCGCCGAGCAGCTCCAGCACTCCCCTCACCCTGGAGACGGGCTACTCCAGCCTAAGGCAGGACACGCCTCAGTCCCAGGGAACCCCTCATACGCCACGCCAAACAGGTACTCCCTTCTCGCAAGACTCCAATTACTCCAGCCGGCAGTCCACGCCTGCGTACCAGCCCAACCGTCCTGAGAGCTCCGGAGGTTACAAATCTCGCAGACACGAGAGTAAGTTCCAGGATGCGTACAACCGCAGACCGGACAGGCCTCAGTATCGCATCCCCATGTATCGGGGTACGTCGGAGCAAGCTGCTTTCAAACAGCACCAGCTCACGCCGCCCGAACCTCCGCCTTCCACTACTTCTTTCACCTACACGGCGCCTCCCCCCGCTACACCCAACTTCAAACCCGCCTTCTCGCCCTACCAAGCCCCTTTGCCCCCAGCGTTCCCCCCATCGGAGCCAGCTTTCCATCACCCAGCCCAAAGGGAGGGTGAGTACCTCCGGCCACCGCAGCCGCCTCTGGCTGCCGCCACTGACTTTATGCCGGTCAAGGAGAGACCAGAAACTCCTCCGATCCCAGAACCCCCGCCTGAGCCCTTGCCCCATCCGAGTACCCCTCCTCCTCAAACGCCAGAGCACTGCCCCTCACCTGGTTCCCCCGTGCTGGATCCAGAGCGCAATAGCCTGGATTCCCGCATCGAGATGCTCCTCAAGGAGAAAAGGACAAAACTGCTGCCGTTCCTGGAGGAGCGGGACTCGGACACTGAGGTGCATATGGAGGGAAGTCCCATTTCCTCCTCCTCCTCTCAGCTATCCCCAATTCCCCCTTTCACGAGCGGCTCCCAAGGTGGCCAGCAAAATTCCCGTCCCTCGAGCACAGGCTTGGAGGACATCAGCCCGACCCCACTGCCAGACTCGGAAGATGAAGAACCAATTCCCGGAACTGCCTCCTCGATCAAGAGAATCAGCTCTCCTGGTCACGACAAGATGAGCAACAGTGACCTCAAAGATGGACCTTTTCGAGGCCACACTCCCACTGATAAAATGGACACGGTAAGATGAAACCCCGTCCGATGTTTCCGATAAAATAGCTGGATATTTACGTGCATGTTTGTATGTGTCAGGTTTTAGCGCATTTCACAAGAAACAAGTGTCAGACGCTGCTACAAAAGCTCTTATTAATAGTGTGGATTAGCTAATAGTAGCACGGCGCTGATGTTTACACACAGCTGTGAATGACAGTTATACAGAGGACGCAGGAAGTCAGGTTTAGTTTCAGTGTGAGGTGGTAGTAGTAAATCTTCTCTTTTGTTTCATTCTTTTTGTTCTGCCTTTAAAAGGAAATTCCGGTTTCACAGAAAACCTTGTGTGAAGGTATCACACTAAAAAGCTGCTTCAGGTAACTGCTACTGACGGCAAACTACCTTTAAAAACGTATTTGTTTGCACACTTTTGTGAACGCAAAAGTTTAAAGTTCCTCGTCGGTGCAGGTCAAAGAGTTGAAATGACTTTTGAATGAAAGGGTTTAGATGCAAAACTTGCATCTTCACAAATACTTTCACACTCATACGAAGCTGATCTCCCTTTTTTGGAGTTACAGTAACGCCATCTGGCCTGCGATGTTGTATTGCTAAACTTTGCTCCGAAGAGAGAAATAAGAGCCACTCTGCTGTTGGGGAATTGAACACTCTTGTTTCCTCTTTCTAACACTCGCTGCACGCGCTCACACGAAGGAAAACACAGCTTGGCTGTTGGCCCCATTCAGCACCACACTTCCTGGTTCTGCTGAGCCTGACAGTCAGGATTGGCCGCAGCGTCTCTGCTCTCATATTTCAAGTTATCACAAAGCAAACAGTGCAAACAGGTCATTTGGGTAACAACAAGCCACTCCCGCGCTGAGTTCACTCTGCTGAGTTTCATGTCTGCAGTGGTTCTGCAGAGACCTTTTAGAATATTAAACAACAAGGAGGAGAATTAAACCCTGATGTGTTTGAAGTCTTGCATTCAGATTTTCTACTGTGGTACTTTCAGGGATACGTAGTTTGATGTCTGAACAAACAGCTCTGTGTGGAAACATGCTGACCACAGACGCAGGTCATTTGTGTTTGACTGTGCTAAACTTTGAACTCAAATCAGCTCCAGAATCACTTGTTGCTCTTATTTGCGAGAACTAACAGGGCAGCAGACCTCCACATTGTTTGATTCTGACTGAAATGAGTCCACTGCACGTCAATCAGTAACTAGTACTGGAAGTTTACATTAAATGCCTACCCACATATATCATATTTTTTCCCTGATTTAAATAAGTAAAAATGCCGCCACTGTTAAGCTGCTTAATTCAGGTAAAGTATCACTGCAGAACTTGAGCTTCTTTTGTTAATTTTTTAGAAATACTTTTACAGACATGCATGCTAATCTTTTTTCAAAGTAATGCACCACAACAAAGCATTCATTCATTATTAAACTCAAACTTTCCCTCAGAACTATTGTAATATGAAACATGTTCCGTTATTCCCAGCCCTGTTTATGTCACGTCATGTTAACGTTTAAGGGGCTGATTTGACAAAACAATCTTAACCCAACGTCCACTAGCCATTTCCAAGCTTTAGACCTCATCTCAGGGTCTCTGTAAGTAAATGCCGTTTTCCTCAGTTGTCATGGAGATGAGACGAGCAGGTGATGGTCCAGGTTTTGCATAATCTTGTCTAGTCCTGATAGGATATCCCCGTTTCACACAGGGTCATCAGTCATCAGGGGAGGACATGGAAATCTCTGACGATGAGATGCCCGGGACTCCGATCACCGGCGGGGAGTGTGGCAAAGGCATCGTTGTCAACTCGGCAGTGTCCCCGATGCAGACCATGTCCATCCATCCCGCCGGCTACCACCCCCTGCAGCACCAAGCCGGCTTTGCGATCGCACATCACCACCTGGCCCCTCACTCCGCCGTCCCGGGACACCCTGCTCACCTGGCCGCCCATCCTGGAGTGCCTCCCCACATGCTGCCACACATGGGTCCCTACCCGCACAGCATGATGCCGCTGGTGCAGATGGAGCTGATGAACTGCTTGCGGTGGGAACAGTGGAGCACGGTTCCGATGTCCTTCCAGATGCAGCAGCAGATGCTGAGTCGCATGGCTCAGACCAGAGGGCCCTATCCTTACCCGCATTTTATGGACAGTGCGGCATCTGGGCCCTTTGGGGGACCTTACGCACCTCTTTCCATGGGTGCTACACCCGCGAGCAACACGGGAGCACCCGGACAGCAATGGCAGCATCCCAGTTTACCAAAGTTCAACCCCACTGTTCCTCCTCCCGGATACGAGACTAAAAAGGAGGATCCCCACAAGGCCACCGTCGATGGAGTGCTGCTGGTCATCGTCAAAGAGCTGAAGGCCATCATGAAGAGGGACCTCAACCGCAAAATGGTGGAGGTGGTGGCTTTCAGGGCTTTCGACGACTGGTGGGATAAGAAGGAGCGCTCGGCGAAGGTAGGTCGCTCGTTTCACTAAGTTGCATCTGCAGAAGCAAAGAGAGCTCATATCCGCACATGCTCAGTGTGCATGGGGAAAATGCACTTGTGCTGACTGCTTTGGAATTTTTAATTGCTGCCAGTTAAATTGGCAAAACAAATGAGGTCCATATTATATGAATTAATTATATGTAATAGAAGCCACGAATTGCAGTGACATTCATTAGGGTCATTCAGTCTCCATCATAAACATCCATTCACAGTCGGACAACGTGACGCTTTCTGCAGCTTATTAAAAAGAATAATTGAAAGACTATTCTGTGCGGCTGCAGCTGATTTTCCTCTCCGTTGTCCAGCGTGATTACACAGGCAAGAGTCTTGCATTAATAGTAGATATCAGTTCCATATCAGTGCCATAATTAACTCATCTGATCTCATCTTGTTGTTGCTAAGATTAGCTATTTAATAAAGTCAGTTAACCGGCTTTGATAATCAATTTTTGTGATTCGTTTATCAAGAAAAAAATAACATATTTGCTGGTTGCAGCTGCTTAAATGTGAGGATTTGTCCCTTTTCTGTGTTGCATTTAATTTAAAATTTAGTTCTTTTGGGGATTTGTCCTGTTGATCAGATAAAACTCGGCTCATCTAACTGGCAATGGGAGATTTTTGTTTTGCCATTTTCTGCCATTTTCTGAACTAACAAAGTTTTAAAAAGTAATTTATTGATCATGAAAATATGCGTTAATGGTATTTATATCTAAAACAGCTCGTGTTTAATGAAAATTGCTCTGTAGACAGCATCCAGTCTCAGCAGAAGCGAATGCCACAGTTTTCAAACATTAAACGTCCCATTCACTTTTTCCCAGGCCTCTTTGACTCCAGTTAAAGGTGCCGAGGGGAAAGAGGAAGAAAGACCCAAACCCAAAGAGACGATGGGTTCAAGTCTGCTGGAGAACTGGAACAAGGGCGAAGGACTCGGCTACGAAGGAATGGGCCTGGGAATCGGTTTACGAGGAGCCATCCGGTTACCGTCCTTCAAGGTAAGTTTGGAAACTTGTCGAGACAGTGTCGTGATCAAGTGTGCAGTCCGTCAGTGTTAAAATGCTGCACGTCGTGTTCAGGTGAAAAGGAAGGACCCACCTGAGGCTGCATCAGCTGGCGACAACAAACGGGCCCGACCCTCCACTCCAGTGGATGACGAGCTGGAGGACGAAGGTGAGACTTTGCGAGGAATGCATTCTAAATACTGGACACATGCAGTTCTCTCAAACGCTAATTTATCTCGTGTTTATTTTCTGTCAGACCGGGATCGAGATCCAGCCGAGCTCCCCTCAGACGATTCCAAATTGGACGGCGACGGCACCGCAGCCAAGCGAAGACACTCGCGACCGCTGGAGCTGGACAGCGAGGGAGAGGAGGAGCTGGACACCTCAGGGAAGGAGGAGGAGTCGTTGTCGGACAGGGAGGAGGAGCCTGATGAAGCGGTGGCGACAGACAGACTGTCGTCAGGCAAGGTAAGCCTAAAACAAAGCTGGTGGTACGTACAATCTATCTGTGTGTTTTGAATACGTTTTAATGCATTGCCGTCTCTTAGGAGAGCGCCGATGATGAAGACGAGGGAGGCTCATCCAGCGACAGCGCTTCCTCAGATTCATCTGATGATGGTACTTTAAATATCTGACAGAAACAGCCGATTGGTTCCTTTTGCAAAGCGCGTTTCCTGTAGTTCATCATTTCTTTGTCTCATTTCTTGCAGAAGCCGAGAGTTCGTCTTCCTCCAAAGCCAGCTCGGACTCCTCATCAGAAAGCGAAGACTCCTCTGAGTACGAGTTGAGCTCTGAAGAGGAGGACGACAAGGAGACGGCCACAGAAGATCTGGAGGGTGGTAGCAAAGCGGCCGAGACCTCCTCGTCTTCTTCGTCGTCCTCATCGTCATCTTCTGATGAGGAGGAGGGGGAGGCGGACACCAAGCCACCAAGCCCCCTGGCAGCACCAGTCCCAGAGGTTAAAGAAGAGCAGAGAGGCAGGGAGGAGCTGAGCAGCAAGCCCAAACACAGACCTCCCAGTCCTAAGGAGGAGGCAGCGGAGGACGTGAAGCCGCCGTCACCAAAAGGCATCCCAGGTGAGTGTCTGCTTCTGTTTTGCAGTCAAGCATAATTTCAACAAAACCCATTTATCACCTAGAAACACTGGTGTCAGAGGTTAACAGAAAGAAACATCTCTTCTTGTGTTTAGTTACAGACGTAGGCACCGTTCCTGTGGTAAAGTCGGAGCCTCAGGAGCATGTAGCGAATCTTCGGCCGCCTACTCCCACCGGCGCCCTGCCCGACAGCGACCAGGAGACAAAACCCAAAGGTAAAGCAGAGCCTGAAGAAGTAGCCTGCACCCCTGGTCGATTAGCCCCGTCCCAGGTAGATCCAAACACACCTGTCCCCAAGTCCGCCTCCGCATCTTTAATGCACCTCCCTCTCCCTCCTCACCCGGCGGTAGAAGGCCGTTCCCTCCTCCATCCACCCCCCGGTCCTCTGCCTGACTTCCCTCAGCGGCCCAGGCTCCCCACGGACGAGGACATCCCCCGCACGCCGGGCAGGGACCTGATGGAGCGTGCCCGGAGTCTGGGTAAATCCCAGAGCACCGACACAGTGCCCATCACCCCTGGTGGCGACGCCCCGCTAACGGGCAGTAGTCTGTTGCTCAGCTCCCCTCACATCCCTGGTAGTCCCTTTTCCTACCCCGCACAGTCCCCTGTCCTTAGCGCCGGAGTCCCCCGTACTCCAGGAAGAGACTTAACATTCACCCCTGTCTTCCCCGACCCCTCAGCACTGACACTTAATAGAAAAGTATCTTCTGAGAGCTTGGACGATAGACCAGTTTTTAAGGAGCCGCCCATCAGCGCTCTGCCTAACCAGGCGCTGTCAGCCGGCACAGAACGCTCAGCCAGCGTCCCTGAAGATCTACCTTCTGGTCTCTCTGTAGACGTCCCGGTGCCATCAGACACAACACCGTCAAAGAGGAAACCTGGACGACCTAAAGGCAAAAAGACCCCGGCTGTCTCTGTGACCGATGAGTCTTTGGAGCTTTCATCTGAGCCCACTCCGCTGCCTCATGAAACACATCTCGGCGATCTGTCCGTGCAGACGATATCTGCCAAATCCCCCAAACACCCGAGCCTGGACTTCCGGGAAGGAGAGGGGGAGCCTCAGACGGAGCTGCCTGCCGACGACGACTTCTTGTCCTACGAAGATGAGGCGCCTGTGGCCGTGAAGCCAGCTCGGAGGACGCGGCGAGGCTGGGAGGAGCTGCTGCTGGACAGCTTGTCGCCCGTCACCACGCCTCCCCGGCCGTACTTCACCCCGCGCTCCGAGTTTGAGGAGATGACCATCCTGTATGACATCTGGAACGAAGGCATCGATGACGAGGACATTCGGCTCCTGCAGATCACTTACGACAAAATGCTGCAGCAGGATAACGGCAACGACTGGCTCAACGACACGCTCTGGGTCAACCACCCTCATATCCTTTACTGCTTAACATCCACTGATTTACACTGGATGATATCAGTAATACTTGGCTTTCTGTCACTTTTCTTTAACTTACAAAGTGCTCCAGGAATTGGAAAGAGAAGGTCAGATCAGTTTAGAATTCAGTCCAGTTAGATACGACTAAAAAGCATATTATTTACTCATTTTAATGTGATTGTCATACACTTTGTGTAACAAGTAGCAGCTCCCTCTGCTGGTGGAAACGAGGAACTGTTTGTCTGATATTGATTATCTGTTAAGCTTCAGAAGAAGGTGGGTTTCAGGGCATTTTCAGTTTCTTCCTTGACTCCCCTGCACCTACCAACATCCCTGGAGTGAAGAAGAAGAGGCGAGACGATGGCATGAGGGATCACATGACCGGCTGTGCGCGAAGCGAGGGATACTACAAGATCGACAAGAAGGACAAGATCAAGTACCTCCAGAGTACACGGCTGCAGTCGGAGGAGCCGCCAGTCGACACACAGGTGGGCAGGAGACTACAAACAGCGATGACTGAAGTATCTCTGCTGTGCTCTGGTCTAACTCTGCGTCGTCTCTGCAGGGCATGAGCATTCCTGCACAGGTCCACGCCTCTACCAGAGCTGGCTCGGAGCGGCGGTCGGAGCAGCGACGTCTGCAGTTCTCTTTTGCGTGTGACAGCGACCTGCTGAAGTTCAACCAGCTGAAGGTAAATCACATCCAACAGCTGAGCAGTGTTGTCCACACACAAGTAAACAAGAAAGTTTTTATGTATAATTTATAGCATTATAACTGTGTCGCACTGTGCAGAAAACATTTCTCTCCACTTCTAGCCGTGGTCGCTCTGTTTCCATGGACGACTTTATACTGCAGTGAAAGAATGAGGCCACAGCTCAGAAGCTGATTGGGGTTAAAACAGAGGGTTAAAACTTTCTACTTGCTGATGCATGTTATGCATATTTACAAAAGTCTATGGTTTGAACTTTTGAGGATGAAAACAGAAAAATAAACTTCTAAATGTGACAGATGGGCACAACAAACAGGCAGCTGCTAATAGAGGACACCAGCAGAGGTTGTTTTCATTTTTGTCATAATTACAAGAAGATGGTCGATTTCACCTAAAGCAGGGGTCTCAAACTCAACTTACCTGGGGCCGCTGGAGATAGAGGCTGGGTGAGGCAAGTATTCCACAAAAAAGGGTTTCAGGTATTCAGAAAAAGTACAACTAGTCCAATCTTTTCAATCTTTATTAATAACAATTCAGAACATAGGCGTCTCTTACCAACTCCTTGCTACCAGAGACCTGGCAGTGCTTCCTCAGCTGACAGCTGAGCCACATTTGGCTTGAGAGAGGAAGCATTTGAGACTCTCAGTATGGCCTGAAGATGCTCATCAGTAGGTTTGGACCTGTACTTTGACTCATTAAAGTTCAAGGTGGAGAAGATGTTTTTAAAAAAAAATAAAAAAACGTATTTGCACTGGGTGACAGAAGATATTTTCCTTCCACTCGGTGACACTCCCGAATCACGTTGCTAGTTTGCGTTGCTGTCACGAACCTGAGCTATGCTGGCCCACAAGTGATAAAACATATAAAATGCCCAGGGCAACGACTCACGTAGATGCACGTGAGAAAAACGCGCTAACGGGTCGCACTAACACTGAACTTTGATTTCAAGTAGGGGACCACAAAATACCATTCCCTGGGCTGCAATTGGCCCTCGGGCCGCGAGTTTGAGGCCTAAACATAGTATTTGTCACTGAATGTGTCGCTGCTTTTGCAATTTATCCAAACATATTCTGTCTAGTTGCAGATGTTTTATTAGTGGATTATTATTTCTTATTTTTATATCCTTATCTTTAGTACTTAACTAGTTTTTTCTGATGCACACAGACAGCCGAGATTCACCGCAGTCAGATTCCTTGTTTGGCCAATACAGTTGATTCTGATTATCAACGATCCTGTGATATTTAGTGACACTTTCTGCTTTTTGTCCCCTTTTTAGTTCCGTAAGAAGAAGATCCGATTCTGCAAATCTCACATCCACGACTGGGGTCTGTTTGCCATGGAGCCTATTGCTGCTGATGAGATGGTGATCGAGTACGTGGGACAGAACATCCGACAGGTGGGACTCGCTCGCGTGTTGTTGTGTGTATTTAAACACCTGAACAGATTTACATGGAATTTGTGCATTTATCTGACGGTATTGGGCTGCAAGGTGGAGCGGTGGTTAGCATTGTTACCTCGCAGCTAGAAGGTTGCCGGTTTGTGTCCTGATGAGGACACCCGGGATCTTTCTGCGTAGAGTTTGCATGTTAAGGTTAATTGGTCTAAATTGTCCGTAGGTGTGAATGTGAGTGTGCTTGGTTGTCTGTCTCGAAGTGTAGCCCTGTGATAGACTGGTGACCTGTCCAGGTGGGATAGACTCCAGCCCCCCACGACCCCAGTGAGGATTAAGAGTGTATAGATAATGGATGGATGGATGGATGGATCTGATGGTCGGGTCTAAAATATAAAAGTCTTGCACATTTGTTTTATGAGGATAAAAGTCGGCTGTTTGAAAATAAGTCCAATAGGAATAATTTACTTATGGATTCAAGATGGGGTATATAAAACTAAAACGTTACTCAGTTCAGACCACGAATGCTTTAAACTTTACAAATAAACAACACAGGCGTCTGCCACGGCTCCAGAGCGCCAACACAAATCTGTAGAGTGCAGCTTAAACATTTCCACTGATCGACATTGCTCTATGTATTTGCGTGTATCTCTGCAGGTTTTTTTTAGTTTTTTTTTCTGCCCTTGTACTCTGGGTTCCATCGTAGATCGCTCCTCTCTGCCGCTCTGCTTTGACTCACAGCTTTTTCTATAGATTGCGTCTGAGTCACTGAGTTGTTTTATTCCAGCTTCGTGACATTTTGCGTATGAGCTGCGTACATTTGTTCAGTCAGGTTGAAGGAAAATTACAGCGTGTGCCTTTTTGGATGTTGGGATGTCATTTGTGCACTTTATTTGTGTCGCTGGTGAAGGAGTTTACTTTCATTTCATTTTCATCTCATTTGATACGTCAGTCGGGGTGGCTGTGGCTCAGGTGGTAGAGCGGGTTGTCCTCCAATCGTAAGGTTGGCGGTTCGATCCCTCCATGGTTGTAGTGTCCTTGGGCATGACACTGAACATGAAGTTGCTCCCAATGGCAGGCAGCTCTGTCATTGGTGTGTGAATGGGTGAATGAGAAACACACTGTAAATATGTATGTATATAAGTGCAGACCATTTACATCGTCAATTCGTTGCTGATTTCATGTTTGAGCAAAATAATGTCGAGCATCAGGTCATGTGTTGGTTGCTTAATTAGCGATAGTTAATGCAGCAACATCCGAGACCTCGTGTCGCTGAGAGACTGGGTCTGTTTGTCTGACGCGCAATTCAATAATAACTCACTGAGATTATGAATAAAGCAAATAAGACCATATAAACGTATGCAAAACTCCAAATCAAAGTAATCAAGCAAAATAGCCGTCAACCCAGCTCACTGCCTCTCTCTTCCTCTGACAATGAACAGGTCAGTGTATGAGCTTAAATCCATCCACGGGAGCCACTATCCCCCCATCCAATGTGTCCAACAAAAATACATCATAACCAGAATAACAGTAATCAATCTGCCCCTTAACCTTTTAACAAAATGATAAAGATATACTCATGGCTAAACCCACTGCTAGCCCCTGCTACTCGCTCTTCTCTTTGTCCCTGCACACTTTCAGCCCTTTTGTGCTGTTTTCTTGTAGGAGAGAGCAGGTTTTCTTTATTATTCTTCGTTTCTGTCAGATTAAAATCACCTCCAAGAGATCACAGTGTTTCTCAGCATCCTGCTTTTTAGCATCACAACACAGGAGCCCGCTGGTTACACTTAATAATGATGTGTTTACCTAAATTATGCAGTGGTGCAATGGAGCATGGGATAAAACCAAACTGTGATGTCCACATGTTGCTCGGAAAAGGATGCAGCCAAACTCGACGGCAAAGCAGTTGACATTAGATCATCCTCAGATAATAATAATAATACATGTATTTTGTATAGAGCTTTTCAAGATACTCAAAGTCGCTGAACAGGGGAGAAAATAAAAACAGGAACAAAACAAGTTGAATAAAAAGCAGATAAACAACAAGGTATAGAAGGCAGGTCAAAATAAAAATGTAAAACAGTTCTTAAAAATCTTAAAACGGTGAGTTTTTAAAAGGGACTTGAATGTGTGGAGGTCAGAACAGTGTCTGATGGGAGATGGAAGGGAGTTCCAGAGGGTGGGAGCAGCAGCAGAAAAGGCTCCGTCCCCCCAGGTTCGGTGCTCGGCCCCCTGCTCATCATCATCTACATCAGGGGTGTCCAATCCTGGTCCTCGAGGGCCACAGTCCTGCATGTTTTAGATGTTTCCCTCTTCCAACACACCTGATTCAAATGATCGGCTCATCATCAAGCTCTGCAGAAGCCTGATCATTTGAATCAGGTGTGTTGGAAGAAGGAAACATCTAAAACATGCAGGACTGTGGCCCTCCAGGACCAGGATTGGACACCCTTGATCTACATCCTCCCTCTTGGTAATATAATCCGTCGTCACCGTGTCCAACTCCACTGCTACGCTGATGACATTCAACTCTACGTCTCCACCCAATCCATGACCTCCTCCACCTTTACTAATAATAACAAACTTTATTTATAGAACACACACGTTACAAAGTGCTTTTCAATAAAATAAATTTAAAATTGAAATAAAACAAGCACACAGAAAAATAGGAGAAGAAGAAGCTATAAAACATAAATAAAATGAGGGAAAGCTCTCCGATAAAAACGTGTTTTCAGGAGTGACTTTAAAGAGAGCTCAGAATCCGCCGACCTGATTTCCTCGGGCAGGTCGTTCCAGAGCCTCGGACTGAAAAAGCTTTGTCCCCCTTCAGCCGGGCCTCTGGGACAGCTAAAAGACCTTTGCCTGAGGATCTTATAGAACATGGTGGAGAGTGTTAAAAGGTCGGCAATGTAAATAGGACAGAGAGCGTTTAGTGCTTATAAAGTGATGAGTAAAATCAAAATCAATCCTAAAACGTGCTGGCAGCTGATGTAAAAGAGCTAAAACAGGCGTGATGTGGTCACGTTTCCTCTTCCTGGTTAGAAGCCTGGCAGCAGAGTTCTGTTCTGTCTGTAGTCTGTCCAGGGATCTCTGATTAGGACACGTATAATGGTACCTAACAAGTGCTAATCTTCCCTCGCAGGTGATCGCGGACATGCGGGAGAAGCGCTACGAAGAGGAGGGCATCGGCAGCAGCTACATGTTCCGCGTCGACCACGACACCATCATAGACGCGACCAAGTGTGGCAACTTCGCCCGATTCATCAACCACAGCTGCAACGTGAGACGGCGATAAAGCAGAATCATTCACCAGCTAGAGAGAAAACACGTTCTCATGTCTGTTTTTTCTTTATCTTCTCCCTCTTTCCTTGCAGCCCAACTGTTATGCGAAAGTCATCACGGTGGAGTCCCAGAAGAAGATCGTGATCTACTCCAGGCAGCCCATCAACGTCAACGAGGAGATCACGTACGACTACAAGTTCCCCATCGAGGACGAGAAGATCCCCTGTTTGTGCGGGGCGGAGAACTGTAGGGGAACGCTGAATTAACGTCCAGCGGGAGGTCAGAAGAATCCCCCCCAAACGTTTCTTTTAAGTTGCTCAGACACCATGTTAGAACCCTGGACGAGGAGGAACTGATGAAGGAAGTTTTTTTTTTTTTTTTTAAATCTCGGAGCGAGGAGCAGAATCCGGCAAGTCCCCCCCTGGAGGAGAGTTCAGCTGCTGAGCTCTTCCCGTATTTAACTCTAGATTGTTTACGATTTATGGTGCTCTTAACATTAAAAAAAACAACAAAAACACATAATTTTTCTTTATGTGTAAACACTTGACTTGCTGGTGCAGCATTTCCTCCTCCTCCTCCTCTTTCTGACAGTATTTCAGCATGGTTCCCTCCACATCCAGTCCTGGTTCCTACAAGTTTTACACTTTTTTTTTTTTTTTGTCCCTCCATAAGCTTTACCTACACCACACGTGGTACATACGAAAAGAAACTCAACACAGACTCACATGTTCAGCTGCTTTACTAACACTGTTGAGACGCACAAGCCCACCAGGTGAACACCTTCTCTGACTCGGTCGGCACCTGAGCAGATGGCGACCGGTTCCGTTTCCATCCGGCAGCAGGTGGGCTGGAGCCTGAAACTCGGCTCCGCTACCTCTTTCTCGCAAATAAATCAAACTGATGAGAGATAAAATAAAAAAACGATTCACGAATGGTTCAGTTCTGCCACAAAATCTGGAATAATGCGTCACCTCGCTCTCACCAGCCAATGACGGATCGTGCTGCTTCCTATTGGTTTATGCAAACGTGCAAAATTTGTATTAACGATATTCCAGTGTTTTCCAGTTTTTTGTTTTTTTGGTTTAGGTAGTTCTCCTCTTGCTTGTTTCTTTCGATGACACTATATTTGTGTGTTTGTGCGCGGGCCTCGGTATTTACAATCGAGAGCGTGTGCTGCCCCCTGTAGGCGGCGGCGAGGAAGGCCAACCAATCATGCAACGACAAAAGAAAATCAATTCCTCGACTGAAAATACGAGTTATTCCTCAGTTTCGGCTATTTATGTCTCATTTTAAGTGCCATATGAATGTGTAGCTGTTTATCATGACGAGGCCGGCCACTTTTTTTTTTTTTT